TTCCGGAAATGCTTTTAACGGAAAATTTTCCGTTAAAAGCATTTGCCCCGATCGCCATTTTTGCGATCAGGGCTTTTTTGCGCAGAACAAATCTCAGCTATCTACACTGGCCCTTTTGCACAAAAGTTTTGCACAGAAGGGACTTTTGCCTGAACGGGAGCTGAATAGTATTTCCACAAGAAGCACTGATTTCTTACAGTAGGAAGTCAGTGCTTTTGCGGAAATTCAAGCGGCCAGTGTAGACAGCTGGCAAGTTTTTCCGGAAAAGCGGCTGATTTTCCGGAAAAACTGGCCAGTCTAGACACAGCCCATAGGTATAACTCTGTATGGCAAATAGAGGTCTAAATGTTGCCCCATTGTCCTAGTCTCTCCTTACTTGGGCTTTACCAAATTCACAGTCTATTTTTGTAAATGTCACGGTCATACCATTTTAAAAATCTTCAATTTCGTGATTTCACACATTTAAAGCTTAAATTTCAATGAATATTTATTGAAAAATGGCAAAATACAAACATGTAGAGCTCTAACATCAGAATTTATCAAACTGGGGTCCCTTGTGCAAAATAGGATTGCAAAGCTATTGTGTGTGAAGGGGGAGGGGGAGTGTCATGGTATCACCACCATTACTTCTAAGCTGCATTCAGAACTGGGTAGCTGGAGCACATCACCTGCTAGCTGGGAGCTAAGCTCTGAAGGCAGCACCAGCACAGGGAGCAGTACAGCCTTCACAGCTGGATTCCTGGCCATCAGCCCTTAGTCTTTGGTCACCCATCTCTGAGGGCAGTGGGTCCACTCTCAGCAACGCAGAAGTAAGGGTGGCAATACCATACTTTGCCACCCGTAAGTTTTGTGCTACTGCTGGCGGTGGCATTGCATTCAGCTCTGCGTACCTGGCCAGCAGCTGCCACTCTCCTGCCACACAGCTCTGAAGGGAGTCAGAAGTTAGGGTAGCAATACTGCAACCCATTACAGTAGTCCTAAGACTCCCTTTTGGATTGCATCCCCCAGTTTGAGAAACATTGTGTAGTTGTATGTACTTTACCCTATAGTATAAAGGAGTATAGTAGAGGGTAAAAGTAGACAAAACCAGAATTCAAGGGGGAAACTAGATTTCATTGTTCGTGATGTGGTTTTTATATCTGTGAATTTGGTAGAGTCTTACTCATTGTCTAGTGGCTTCTCTATTTTTTCTGTCTTCCTAGAAGGGTCACTTTGTGCCCTGGTTTCTAACTAGATAGAACAGGATAAAATTAAAGAAAATAAAGTTTGTGTTAGGAAAAAAAAATCAAAGTAAAATTACAAATGGTATTTTTGATTTTTTTCTTGTTACGGGTCATTTGTCCTACAGCTCAATATTACTAAATCCAGTGTACAGTGTTTCTAAAATCAATACGCAGTGGCCCACTTTAAAGGGAAAAAAGGAAAATAACTAAAAACTTAAAATAATGACACACACAATCTCTTTTTTTGTATCCCCTTCCCCTCCACATATACTGTTTCAGGTCTTGAACAAATCTGAACATAAACAAAATCACTTGTACAGCATATGCCCTAACATGTCTGTCTATTCAGATTGTCAGATTGCTTGGAGATGTTATATGCCCAAATAAAAAAGGGGAGGATGGCATTGGAAGCTAGTTGTGACATTGCTTTTTTATTGTGGTTAGTGACTTTATTAATAGGAATTGGAGGCTACAGACTGTTTCACAGAAATAGCAGACTTGGCTGAGTTAAAAGTGTACAAGTGTATGAGTGGGGGCACTTCAGTCTTGCTGTAACTGGAGTGATTGAATTTTAAGAATGCTTTTTAAAATCTGCCTCTGTATTAACTGGCTGTAGTGCAGGTTAACACTCAGACTCAGTAAGGCTCATTGTTGTTAATAGGGGTTGTTAAGGAAATGCTGAGTTACTTGTCTAGTCTGTTTGGCCAATATTAAAATCCAAGCGTTTTGTTGTGTAGTCTGTTTTAAAAAAAAAAAATTATGCCAATTGCAGGTAGCCTGACATCACGTGGCCTCAGATGTTGGGTTCAGCATGGCCCTTAGAAAGCCACAGGTCATAATTGAGGTATTACAGATTGAACCTCTCTCGTCTGGAACCCTTGGGACCTGATCAATTCTGAATCAGAGAATTTTTTGGACCACAAGAGGTCAATATTGTCTAGCAGTGTTACCAGCACTTCCACTGTTTACTGGGTACTTAGAAGACATTTAGAGCTAAATAACAGCAGAGAACACTGAGAGTTAAGATTGGTGGCTGTAAACAAACTTTATGGGACTGTGGGAAACTTGGCCATACCCATGAGAAGTGGACATTCAACTAACTAAAATAATTCTGGATGACTGATGTTTTCGGACCAGAGAGTTCTAGATTAGAGAGGTTCAATCTGTAGTACTAATGCTGTCCTCAACCAGATATTTATTTAACTTTCTATTATAATTGAGGACACACCTATTCATAGAGGGTTTTTTTAAAAAACTTTGAGTATAGCCTCTATTTATTTTATTTTTTTTTATTTTTTATTTTTCTGTCTCTTCCCTCTTGTCCATTTCTGTACCACTAACCTCCATAAGAGAAGTCGGGAAGCTGACGCTTTATTTTTGCAATAAACTTGACTTTAATGGTAGTGAAGTTATAAACATGGTGTTGGTTGTTATTCCTGGGACTTTCATGTATATGTTGTCAGTGTTTGGTTCTAGAGCCCCATCAGATTACAGAGTCTGAGTAAGAAAAGGGTTGGTGTACACGACCTTTCTGTACGTAACAGCAGCCCAACATCATTTTTATAGTAAGAGTGGACAGTTAAGGTGACACATTTTAAGTTTTCCCTAATCAAGTAGAAACGTGATATTGGTATAACAATAGATGATCCTTAAAAGTAGATTTGGAAGGGTCAGATTTAAAGTAATAAATATTGACAATTTTTTGATCTTCCCTCTATCAGCCTTTCTTCCAAAGTATATTCAATAATTGGAACCAGAAGAAAGAGAAGTCTACAAACATACGATGTATTTCATTATTTGACATTAGTTCTCTGTCATGCATTTAACTGTCATCTTGTTTTACAGTACAAATCTGTTTTCATCAGTGGTATCTAAATTTCATTAGGGGAAGTTTTTAAAAAATTCTGGCCAGTGGATTTTATTTATTTATTTCAAAGTATTGCATTCAGTCAAATAATCCCAAGACTACTTAGACTAAATGAAGCATGTAGGCATGGTCAGAGCTTGCAGACAGCATATCATATGAATCCAACATTCACGTAAAGGTAATCTAAGTAGGAGCAAACTGATAACTTTACAAACTTGCTATGCAAAAATAAAGCAATGATTAAGCCCTCTAAAAAAAAAATCTTTTTTTAAATGCATACGTGTCAGGTGAAAGAATAGTACAAAGCCAATCTGTTGAAAGACTTGGAATTTATTTGTTTTTAATGATCAGATATAATTTCAGGTAAGATTGATTTTTCTTTTCTATTCACAACCTTGTGTGTAGGAAATTTTGCAGTGAGCACTGAGAATTTATTGTGCGGGTATACATAAACCCCATAATATAGTTCATACAAGAACTCTATTGCTTTATTTTGGACAATTTATTTCACCAATTTGTCATGCCATATTTACTGCAAATGTTGTGGTAATAGTTAAGAGTTGAAGAGTATTGTAGAGCTCAGTATATTATATACTGTAAGTGGACGTAATTCATTGATTTATGTAGTTCCATACACAAAATTTCATGAAAAGCAATTATAGTGACTAGGGATGTTATAGTGACTAAGAATGTATGGATTTTTGTAAATGTGTAACCCGGGGATGTGGGCAGGGGGAAACCTTATATGTAACTGTGAAGGTTAACCAGTGACCTTAGGCTTACTGGTTAACTGTTTAAGGATTTAAATGTGGGCATCCCTAATAAGGGTGTTAAATATCGACTAATTGACTAATCGAATAGTCGATGCATTTTGTGCCAACTATTTGATCAGTTGATAGGGCGTCTCTGCCTTTGAAGAGTAGCAACAGCCATAGGCGAAAGCACCGCGTAGAGCTAAGGGTCATCTGAGGACTCTGCAGATGATCCAGGGTTCCATGAGGCCTCTTTGAAATGCTACAAGGAGTCCAACACTGGGCTCTCCATAGCGCTTCAAAGCGACAGCACCACACGAAGTCCGAGGTCAGTGGGGAAGTCCCCAGCTGATCCCAGGCTCCATGCGCTGGTCCCAGGCTGCACATTGTGTTGCAAAGCGGCAGCGCCACGTGGAGCCCAGGGTCTGGCCGCAGGCTTTAAGCGGCGGTGCTGCTTTGAAGTACCCCCTTTCGACCTCTCCTCTTGCTGCCTCTTCTGACTGTCCTGTCGACTTGTCCTTCACATCCCAAATCCCTAATAGTGACTCCTTCAGGAACTCTTCAACATATCTTGACCAGTCACTCTTCCAAATTGGAATATATCTGGGACGGGCACCATCTTGATGTTTGTGTCTTAAACATATTGCTGATGTGTAAAAAGTTGTCATAACTTTTTCATGGTTAAGCAGAAAACTAAACACTGTACAGACATTTATCAGAGATTGAGAAATGTTGCACTAAAGGTGAACAATTGGAGAAAGAAGTACAGTTTTACCCAATATTAATAAATATACTTAAATATTAATATATAAAGTATCTGGCACATTCCTAGTGACATTTGAGTTACTTTTTTCTAAGCAATAGAACAGATTACTACTATGTAATCTCTCAGTTTTCAAACACTTTTCACTAAGTGCTCTGATGCACCGACAGGGCTCCTGAAGTTTGTTTTTTCTAGCTTCTAAGCTAATTTTTGCTAAAGAATGCAAGTCATTTTGGGGAAGCCTTTTCAAATGTTAAAATGTAAAATATTTGTGTTGTTGGGCATCAGCTAAAACGGCAAAGCTTTATTACTTTTCTGTTTTTTTAAAAATGAAGTCAGTATGATCATTTTGAGGAAAAAATATTCATTTATACTGTGTTTTGTCTTTGCTACAGAACAAAGCCATCCCCATCTGAAGGAGTCAAATCCAATCCATCCAAGAGACACAGAGATAGATTGAATGCAGAGTTAGATCGCTTGGCTAGCCTCTTGCCTTTCCCACAAGATGTTATCACCAAACTGGATAAACTCTCTGTGCTTAGGCTTAGCGTGAGTTACCTGAGAGCCAAAAGTTTCTTTGATGGTAAGAAATTGAGTTTTAATTTTTCATTGATTGCTTTTAAAATACTGTTTGGTGTTGAATGTTACTTTCAGCTGTTTTGGTATTTAAAATTGTGTATGTATCTGTATTTTAATGACATTTCAGGTTGTGTGGTGATGTACAGAAATGTACAGAATCAGTTGTCCAGATTCTTGAAAACCAAATGTAACTATTTATATTTCATTTAACTAATCAACTTGCATGTGGAACCAATATTGCCTTTAATGAGTCTTCCAGACCTTATCCTCAAACTTGCAAAGGTTTTGAGTAGATGAGATTTTTTTCCAAGAAGTGCCTTGATAAAATTGTTGAACTTAATACTTTTTAGAAGGCTTTTCCATCAGTTGGATGTTCTCCTTGATGCAGCAAAGGTAACTGCAATATGAATAAAATGATTGAACACCTACAGCCCCATCACCTAATTTGTTTTATCATCTAACTTGTTTGTGGAAGCTAATTTCTTAAACTAATGGAGATAGATTCATTCCTGTGTTAGTTCTGCATTCGCAAAAGAAAGCGCATGTGTGCGTGTGTGAGAGATAAGGAGCCAGTTAAGGGTTCTATAGGTTGGTCAGCTTTGACGCTAGATTTGGTTTCAGTTATAGCATTCTTGGAGCTATTCTGTGTTGGGCCAACAATATATGCTTCCCCATGCCAGTTGAGAATTAATGGAACAAAGCTTTGTGCTGTTCCTTCATTCCCTGGCCTGCCCCCTTGGCTAAAATGAAATGGTTGGCTTAATATTAGCTGAGAGCTTCCCCCACTATGGAAATTCTTATCTGTCCAGTTGTATATCTCTTGCATCATCTAAGCAATGTAAAAGAACCATACCCACATAAAATCTGATTGATTTTTATATTACTTGCTGTGACAGTGTTGAAGCTCTAATTGCATGTATAATCTCCCTGTCTCTCTCTCTCTCTCTCTCTCTCTCTCTCTCTCTGTCCTCTCACTCTGCATCATGCTTCTGCTGCGTGGCCTTCTCCTTCACCCTTCCCTGGTGTTCCAGGAGGCAGAAGCCACGCAGCCTCACCCCTCCCTGGTGCTCTGTGAGAAAACAGTTGATGCAGTACTTTTGTAGTATATCAGGATAGTATGGCATATGACATCTGTTCAGGACTACAGTTTGACAAAATTGTTGGTGGAACAGTTTTTCATGTCGCAGAGTGAATGGATCCTTTAACCGGAAATGGTGCCTCAGCACACTTGTAATAAGTTCAGCTCAGCTCTTCAGGCAGGCAAGATGAGCACAACATAAGCTTAGAAAGCTATAGGTGGCTTGAGGAAGCAGCTGCATGTGTGTGCTGCAGGGAATGAAATAGACTCAGAAAGTGAAGGAAATTGAATTGGATCCTTGAAGGCCAAATTCTTGAGTCAGAAGGAGATACGTTGAACTCCAGACAGACTGAATTGAATTCAGCTCTGTGAGGGACTGGTGATTCCTGATTCATGGAGATAGATAATGAACTGGAGTTATGCCGCGCGTCAGTCCCCTAGAGCAGTATTTCCCAATTTTATTTGGCCATGGAACCCTTTTCAGCTTAAAAGAATTTCAAGAAACCCCTAGGGTTGCCAGGGTAAAATTTGTCAAGCCAAAAAAAAAAGCCCACCAGAATTTTTGTCGAGCAAAAAAAAAAAAATGCCGAAAAATAGACTCTGTCACTTTAAGAGGGGGTAGAGGAGTGCTGCGTTCTCATGGAGCCCTTACTTTTGCTTAGCTTCCCAGGGTTCTGTGGAGCAGCAATTGGGAAACACTGCCCTAGATGGCTGGTTTGTTAGGTCAAAATCAGTTGGACCCGGGAAGGGGAGTGTGATACTATGTTATTGAGCCCTATTGAGCATTATGCTTCAGAGCCATCCTTGGGTATGAAAGAGTGCTTGGGAGCAGCCGGCTTGTGTTTTGATGAGCTCAAGATGTTTCATAGGAAAATACCAGTTTTCATTGAAACTTTCACAGCTGATTTTTTAAAATGCTTCACTTTGTAAAGGTTAAAAAGGTTTTTTGACTCTTTTTATAATTTATAATATACATGTTAGAACAACCACTTCAGCCTCATTGAAATAAAATGTTTCTGAATATTTTGTTTAACTCAAAATTCAAAGATTTTTATTTTTGTCCTGACTTAGGACAAAACCAGATTTCAGAATTTCCTATGGGATGGAAATTGCTGTTTTCAGCCTGCTCGAGAACCTGGTCTTTCAAAGTCCAGAAATGAGTACTGAGGTATGAATCCTGCACACACTATGGTTGTGTCTCGATTACATCCCTCTTTTGAAAGAGGGATGTAAATTAGGCAATTCGAAATTGCAAATGAAGCTTTTTCGAAAATACGCTATGATGCGATTACGCAAATGAAGCACGGGAAATTCAAATCCCTGCTTCATTTGCACTTTTGAAATGCCTAATTTCCATCCCTTTATTGAAAAGGGGATGTAGTTTAGACATACCCTTAGCCTACGTCTACACTGCGCATTGTTTCACAAGAAGATATGCAAATGAGGCACGCGATGAATATCACTGCGCCTCATTTGCATACCTAGTGAGCCTCCATTTTTGCAGCAGGGGCTTTTGCGCAAGAAGGAGCTGTTTACACTGCTCCTTCTTGCGCGAAAAAACCCTCTTGCACAGGAGCTGTTCTGCTGCTTATTTTCCGGAAGAACTTCTTGTTCTTCATCGCGCACCTTATTTGCATATCTTCTTGCGCAACAATGCGCAGTATAGACATAGCCTTAGAGTCTTGATCCAAAATAATACTGTATGGGAATATGGCAAAAACCTCACAGTATTCAGTCCGCTACTTCTGTGTCTCATATGACAGTGTCTCTGACTCATTTGGATGTAGAGTTCATTTCCATCCGTTTAAAGTGATTGATTAGAAACAGTTTTCTTGACACCAAAAGAGCCTGATGCATTTAAAGTGATTAATTGGAAATTGTTGTCTTGGCACCAAAAAAGCCTATATGAATTTTTGATGTAACATATCTGTAAGTAGATCCAGATTTGTAGCAGGGTTATATTAGCATTGAACTGAAAGCCCTATTTTATGGAATGAAAGCCATTTCACACAACAATATATCCAGTTCATAATATTATATGTAGAGATTGAACAGTAGTTGTAGGTTTATGCTTAGTATTTAATTTTTTGCATTTTAATTTTTTAATTTCTTTAGCACAGTTTTCATTCATTTGTGGTGAATATTTTCAATCTACAAGAAATATGTGCATGTACTGCAAGTTGCAGTAGTAACTTTGAATTTTCTTCATATTCAGAACTAGAATTAACTGAGGGCATGTCTACACAGCAGGGCTAAAGCCAAAATAGGCTATGTAACTTGAGGTACATCAGTGGTGTAGCTTAAGTCGAAACAGCTTATTTCGACTTTTGGCACTGTCTACACAGCAGGAAGTCCAAGAGAGCACTCTTCAACTTCCCTTACGCCTCATAAAATGAGGGTCAGTTATTCCAAAATAACACTGCTGTGTAGATGTACCCCAATTTGTGCTATTTTACAATTCTTTTAGATGTCTTAAAATTTTGACAATGGGAGATATATTTTTGGAAAAAGAGGAATCATTTTTTGGTATAGATTGAATATATTAAGAATGATTTTAAGGAGATATGACTATAAGGAAGATAACATTGAAAAATGGTATCTGTCATGAAATTCAGGTTACTCCTATTACAGGTTGAACCTCTAGTCTGGCACTCCCTGGTCCGGCAGCATCCATGGTCTGGCATGATTTTGTTAGCCGGATGCCCACTTATCATTGGTGTGGTCAAGTTTCCTGTGATCCCATGAAGTTTTTTTTTACAGCCACCTGTTCTGTCTCTCAGTGTTCTGTGCTGCTCTTTAGCTCTAATTTACCCCTAAATGTCTTCTGAGAGTCCAGTAAGCAGTGGAAGTTTTGGTAATTCTGCTAGACACTATTGACCTCCCGTGGTTCAGCAAATTCTCTGGTTGGGCAGCGGTCAGGTCCTGAGGGTGGTGGTCTAGAAAAGTTCAACCAGTATTTCTTATGCTGGTGACTTTACTATTGCAAAAACTTACTTTTATGGTGTCTTGCCACTCTTTCTGCTTACCTTAGATTAAAGTAAGGTTTATTACTGTAGATCTTACAGTTTCCAAATAAAGGAACAGAGTTCATGTTGCCAAGGTTTTTAAAGATTTAAAAGAAATGGGAAAGAGGAAGTGTCATGTGAGCAGGGTCTGATCTAATTTCTACTGAAGTGTGTAAATCTGCACTCAAACTTTTTTTTTTTTTTAAGAATCCTACAATGGGCAATTAGTGTTACTTTCATAATCGAAGGGCTTTGTAATGCATGAAATGGAGTGTACGGTGTCTTGTATATTTTGTATAGATTTAATATTGTGTGTGTAAATATATTTTAAAAATCAACAGTTCACGAAATTACAGGCTTTAAAAAGCCTCATCTTTTCTATTTTCATCCTGTTGTGCTTGGTAGTCTGTAATTCCAGCAGCTAAGTGAAAAACAAAAATATTCTGACATTCTAGTCTTCAGTACAGTTGTTTGTAAATGTATAGCACACATTTTATTCTGTAATTTAAACTAAGGACATGAAGTAGTGGTTAATAAGATAATCGAGTTGTTGCCGGCTACTTCTGCGGCTTTGCCTTTTTAAATGTATTAAAAGCTACCAGGTTCTTTCTACATTTAAAAGGCAGAGCTGCAATGGTCTGGGACCCAGCGCATGCCGGGACTGCTGAGTTCTGACTTCTACTGAGTCCCCCGCTGAGCCTCTTCCCCCCCCCCACCCCCAATGGTGCTGGGGGGAACTGGCTTTTAAGCCGGCTCTCCCCAGCACTGCCTCCTGCTCCCCCCTTGTAGCCTCTGATACAGAGACAACTAGGTGTGTGTGTGTGGGGGGGGAGTGAGTAGTCGACTTGACTAGTCGCTTACATCCTAGTTTAAACTCTGTTAGATGTGAAAAGAGAGGCAGGATCTGTGTTGTTAATTTTG